GGTATTTCGGTTTATTTTAAGTTGAAACTTTTATAATAATGCATATTATTTGATTTGTATGTGTTCTATTTCGGTTTGTGTTTTTTTTTCGAAACTAGTATGTTAAATTTATCCGGATTTAATATTAGTATTTTATAAAAAATATAAATTTGTCAAGTAAATTTGTCTATTAATATCCTGATTTATATATATGTGTTTTCATGGCGTTTTGTGTGTTATTTGCAATTAAATTATTTGTTGTTTATGTTTAGTTTAGATTATTTTTTAGCGTAGTAAAATTTAGAGCCTTGTAGCGTAGTAATGTGTAGTATTTTAGCTTAGAATTCCTTTTGTTTAAGTATCTTACACTGGTAGTTGAAAATGCAAACTTTGTACAATTAAGTTAATAATTGTATCGACACACATAATTATTAATGATAGTTTGGTGCCACTGGGCCTCAAAATATCGAGCCCGGAATCCATAGGTATATATATATATATATATATAATTTGTACAATTAAGTTTTTAAAAATATGAATTTAAATTATACCGTCGGACTTGACTCCCATACTTGCATCTCATGACACTCTTTTACGTTGTGCATTTTACAAGTCCTGCTTAGGCGCGCTTTATCAGGAAAAAGCATCCCCTTTGCAAGCATCGTTGGTCTAGACTCATCCCACATTGCTGTCCGGATTTCATCAAAATACCTTGTGAGAGCTTCCACATCCGGCACGGTTGGCAAGTTATCAATGTAAGGAATCTCCCTTGAATGGAACGGCACTTCGGACTCGTACACTCTTCGTCTAGGGGGTCTCTCTTCAAATCAGGTCCTTCCTCCTCATCCTGCGCATCACCATCCTCACGAGGAAAGGGTGTCTCGTCTCCGGATTCATCCGCATTGTTATCGTAATCACTATTCTGTTCCTCACTCTGTGCATCTGCTAGATCCCGATGTAATACGTCATTTTCGGGCAATTGAGTGAGTACAGGTGGTTCAACTTGCTCGTTTTCACTGCACAACCAACAAAAATATAAGTTACTGAATTAATAAATGCTTTTCATATGGCTATATCACTTCACTTATAAGTCGTAATGTGATGAAATTCCATGATAGACGTTTTCAATTAGGTGATGACTACCGGATGGGCCACTTGTAAAACTCATATCCGGCCGGTACCCCCTATTAAATATATGAGCGTTAATACAAATTCAATACGCTAAAAATATACATAATTAACACAAATGAAAATTGAAGTTTACCACTCGTCTTGTGAATTATGGAAAGCAGGGTATAAATTATTTTCTCGCTGCTCATTCGCCGGCGGTGATAAGTTTAAATCAAGGAAAACTCTTTCATCCGGAACCCGTCAGACAAAAACTGCTTCAGAATAACCACCCGATGACTGGGGGTTATCTCTACTACGCACAACCTCATTTTTTGGAACGTCTTCGACCTTCACGTACATCTCCAACATTGTGATTACAAGAAATTCCCGGCATTCGTCCGGAGTCCTCAGAAAATCACTCAAAGTTTCATCATCGTCGATGTTAAACTCCGAGTAAAAAGCAACCCCAGTGACGGAATACGGATATCTTCCGGTTACTTTAAGTATCACTGAACGTTTCCTCACACTCATTTTTTTGCATAACAACGATATCAATGTATCGTACTCCATTGTAAGTGGCAATTTAACATGACACTTAGCAGGTAAATTGTAGCCCACGGAGTTATTCACCATCACAACCTCACCCCCCCCCCTCCAATATAATGAAACTCTTATTCTACGCTCTTCAGACATAATGAAAAAATGCTGGAGAATTTAACAACAATAAACGTTTCAACAAGAGTTAAAAATTATTTTGAATGAATTTCTATACAATCCTAACCTCTTTATATAGGAAATGGCTAGCCGGGAATTTTTTTTTATATATATATAGCGCCGAAAAAGTTGGCACTATACGCTTTTGAATTATTGAAGTCAGGAATTATTGGTGGGGCCAGGAAAAGCGAGTATAGTGTCAGGTATTTTGGCGCTATACCTGGGCGTGTCAGCTTTTTCAGTATAGTGCCAAAATACTTGGCGCTATACATTAACGGCACAGTTACCGTTATTGTATAGCGCCAAGTATTTGGCACTATACATAAAAATATCTTCTTCTTTTTTTCTACCTACTTATGTATTTTGAGTTCAAAAGAATCACATTTTGATTCCGGACTCGGAGTAAAAAGGAAAGGAAAGATCTGCCTCTTCACTCCATCAAGTTGACTTTTTTCTTTTTTTAGCTTCTTTGGAACACGAACATGAACAATCAAAGAATTGTTAAAATGGACAAAACACTTACTTTTTGTTATGTATTTTTAAATCATGTAGAGATATTTAATTTAACATAGTCATATGTCTCGAGGTCAAGTCAGTTATAACCATCCACTAAGCTTTTTGATAAAATATTGAACATGGTCTAAAATAATATATTTGCTAACTACTAGGTTACCCTATGCCTATTTTTATGGAATCAATAAAATGGACGTTAAATTTGTTGTTAGAATTTTTGAAAACTTTTTGGAGGAAAGCACGGAAAAGTCGTCGAAAATTTACTATTTTTCGAGAACTTTTCAACGGCGTGGAAGTGGTCGGAAACTAACTTGTCGAATTGAATTTTCTGCATAAATGAAATGGAATTGTATTAATAGCCGTAAAGACTTGTTAAAGAAAGCATATTCAAGAATGATTGGTATATTAAGGAGAATGCCAAACAGGAAGGACAAATACTAAGATTGACAAGCACCATCAGCTCAAGATATGTTAAATCATTCCAATTCCATGGCCATAACAAAAAAGCAACCCAGAATTTCAAAAGAAGAAAAAGAGTTTTACATTATTTTTCTGTTGCAGTCACATGTAATAAATAATTGTGGTACTCTTGGTTTGTTCTCTTTTGGCAAGTTTAACATGAACCCATAAAAGAAAGAGAGCAGGAATGGTTTTTGCCAAAACAATTATCTTATTTGCAAAGTTTATGCCATCCAAGACCAAGATATAAAAAGGAAGGTGTACCAATTAAAGAGAATACGTACTGGATCAAGCATATACACACTACGCAAAACTATTTTATTTTGTTGTTTTCACTAAAAAAAAAATGTCAAATTTGCGAAGGTTTTATTGCAACGGTTACTATAACCTCCGCAATTTATATCAAATTGTAGGGGTTTATTTACCTCCCGCAAATATATTATATTTATGGCGGTCAATGACCTCCGCAAACCTTACAAAAAATAGCGCCCACCAAACCCCAATATTTCCCTGTTTTTTAATCCATTCCCTCCCTTTTATTCCCAAACCTTTTCAGCTCTCTTAAAAAAAAACCCTCTTTAATTTCATTCCCAAACCCCTGCCGTTTCTCTGATTTCTTCACCTCTTTACAAACTTATGTTATGCTTGCAAAATTATTTGTCACGACCCAAATTTCACTAAAGGTCGTGATGGCGCCTGACACCATTGTCAGGCAAGCCAACCAAAATACTGTTATTACACTGTATTTGTAAAATAAATTCTGGAAATATAAATGAATATAAACAGTAATGAATATAAACAGAAATGACATAAACCAATTCGAGCCCACTGAATTCACAGTGTTTCCTTAAGGAATTTAATCCCCTCCTAGTACCCAAGGTTATGGATTATTTCCTCCCAGGATAGAACGAATTACACACTGGTGTAGTGGTACTTCAAACCCCAGTGTTTCAGCGAACACAAAGTTCGGTAGCAAATCACACTTACTTTTTGCTTTGTTTTGATGCTAAAAGTATGCAGAAGAAGGAGAGGAAACTCAGAAAATTGTAGTTAAAATTCTGAGCAGAATAGTGTAGTATATATAGCCAAAGTTGGGTCTCTTCAGAATGGCTGTTTATGCAAAACGCCCACAACATAAATGCCATTACATAAATGGCCATTTACTCAATAATAAAGAGGGAAAATAAAGAGGGAAAATTGAAGAGGGTAGTTACTTTTCTGTTACCAAAACAGAAAAACGGATTGGATTTAATATTNTAAATAGAGTTAAGTTCTTTTAGGAAACTATTTAATTTACAAGGTAGTAGCTTATACAAGGTATGGTAATGAAAATGTTGTTTTGCTATCTGTCTGGGATATGTTTCTTTTATGCTTCATGTTGGGATTTTATACCTTAAATGAGAAATGCTATGTTACCATCAATGTCTATTCTTACCATTGTTTGACATCAACCATCTTTTTTTTTTGCCCTATTTAATAATTCCTTGTTCGGTTAACTACACTTCCCACTGGAAATTGTTAGATATACAAATGATACCGAGCTGGCTACTGAGTGCTCAAGTATTAGATTTTGTTTATTTTCCCTCATGTAACTCACCTAGAATTTGTGGTTTTAAAGAAAAAGCTAAGTTGAATACAGAAGCCTTGAGGCAGGAGGGTGATCTCATCTGACCTTTTCAATTTGTCTTAAACATAAACAACACCCATTGGAGAGTAGGAAAGTTGACATTTCAACACCGGTTAATGATAGAGAAAGCGGCTACTGTAGTATAAGGATATAAAGCTGCTATTGAAAGAACCAAGGAGTAAGCAGATAAAAGTTCTCTACTAAAGCCTTAGGCAGAACGAAAAAAGGAAATATGACAGAAGAAGACACTGAAAGGGTTGACTCCTCTTCCATCTCAAAACCTCCAACTCATCTTTTGTATGATTTAAACACCATATTGGAATTTATTTTAGGTAGGTGGATTTTTGAAACTGTTAATCAAACTGTATAATGAATCTGCAACATATTTAGAAACGAAAACCAAATTAAAACTCATTTACTGAACTTAATGCTAGCTTTGGTTGGTTTCTTGAGGATTAACATGGTAATGAGCTGTGCATAACATGCATCTCAGAGAGAATTATAGTCGATACTGGGAAAACACAATGAAGGAGATTGTGGTGGAAAGTCTTCGAATATATGCAACATGGCACTATCTAACATCCTGCTTTATTTGCAGTGTACAAGAAGCACCATCCTCCATCTCTTACAATGAAGTATGGAGACTGGAAAAGATTGGCAAGGAAGGAGCTTTTCATCGACGTTTGAGCAAGGAAAGAGTCAACACAGTGAAAGATTTTCTGACTCTCCTCTATCTAGATCCTACAATGCTTCGGAATGTGAGTTCTACTGCAATTGTCTTACATAGATAAATGGATTTAGTATACAATGATACAGCTATTTTTTTTCCTTGTTGAATAGTAAGAATTGCAACAAATATTTGATATGAACTGTGATAATGATGGACATATTTCCTAATGTTTGTGATTCTTTGGAAACCTTTGTTTTTCTTCGTTATGCTTGTATTATTTTTCCTGTCTTTGTTTCCTGTTGTTGTGTGTTTTCAAGTTAATTGATTTACTTAGTGGATTAGCATCTTCTTTGAGCATCCTCTGTAATCCATTAGGAGTTCGACAGCAGAATTTAGCCTGGTTACACCTTGTTGACATCGCGATTCAGAAGTTTGATAAATCTAGATAAAACATTGATGTTCTCTTGCGTTTTCAACAAGATTGACAAATCTTTTAAATCCTTTTCCTGGGAAATCTTGCAGGTTCTTGGGACAGGTATGTCCACCAAAATGTGGGAAGTCACGGTGAACATGCTCGAACGTGCTTACTTGATAAGAAAGTGTACTTGTACTACTCATCTGGATCTCATCTGGATATGTACTAAAAAACTGGCGTGGTTTTTAACATCGTTGGACAAGTGATGGGGCTTCTTCCAGACTGTCAGTTTGTTTCTGCTGATAAGTTGTCCGAAACTCAAAAAGGCATGTACCTTTAATAAATAAGAATATTTTGTTTATTGCTCTTTTTGTTTCTTCGCCTACCAAGGTTTGTATTTTTTGATATATTTAGAGTTGCCATTGCTCCTAATAGATTACGCAATGACTCCCATTCCTTTTTCTTTTGAGGATGATGCTCGTAATTTGGTGATTTGTGCATTCAGACACTGGGAAGAAGTAGTCTCTTTTGAGGATGAGTCCTCTCTTATGGATTGGGTTATGCAAATTTCCGCGGTTCAATTCTCCTCAAACTCATCCACGGTGGGCCATTCAGATGCCAATGACAATGTTTTAACTTCCCAGAAGGTTAGCAGAACCGACTATCAGCATTTAAGTGCTATCAACACCTGATATCATGCCATCCTTCTGTTCAATTGGTGGTTTCAGCAGCTTGGATGATTTTGTCTTGCATGGTATGGACAACATGGATGTTAGGTTTGACCAACCGTTAAATTTTCCCAGCCAAGACACCGACTCCTTGATGGCTAATACTGATTCTATAACTCCACCATTTTGTGAGGGTGATCAATGCTGAGGCAAAAGAATCTGTAGGTAATTGCTGCCCGGTGCAAAATTGTGTGCAGTAGTAGAGTCAGATAAATTTCTTGTACCTGAAATTGTTCAGGTAGCGCCAATCATCTTGTCCAGTTTCATTGTACAAAATTCACGACCCTTTTTCTGTTCCTATTTTTTTTTGGAAATCACAACTTTTTGAGTCTTGTGAATGGGTACACAGTCCTTGGCGCTGGTCTGATGAAAAGTTTGTACATATATTAGATCGATGTGTAGTGACAGCTGCATCTTGATTTTGCCATCCTGAAGGCAAATAAGTTTTTTCTTGCACACAGATCTCTGGCTCTCTCTGTTTTTCCTTTTGAGTTATTCTTAATTAGATAGTGTTGTGGTATCCTCTTAAAATCCTTTTCCTTCCGGTATATCTTGTTTCTTAATTATCTAAAATTGATCTAGAAGTGCAGTCTTTTACAGGGAATTTATGAGAAAAAGAAGAGGACTCAAAGATGTCTTATTTATTTCAGTGAGTTTTTGCTTTCCCCATAAAACATGCACCAATGATACACCCAAGAGTTTCTGGACTCTCTGTTTTCAGACAAAAAATGGTATACACAACAAGTCACATTAAAGAATAATTTCAATGCCCAGAAAGAAAAAAGAATAATTGCAGTATGATGCATCTTGTTAACATAACATTCAGTTGGGCAAAAAATTGCTAACAAATATCAGTGTTCACTTTTTCCATGTCTATCTATCTAATAGAATTGGTGCCACCAATCATCTGGAACAATGTCGTCTCCTCCATTTTTGTTGAGTCCTCTCAAATAATTAACCTGTTGTTCAGCAAACTGATGTTGTTGCTGACTGTGTAATGTTGTAGTCAGGTTCACGCAACATACCTTCTATTACTTGAGCAACTTCTTTTTCCTCCATAGCTACCCCATTCTTCATATTTCTCTCTGTTATAGTAATACTTTTCTTGATTCGGCAGAGAATTGTTTTCCCAGAAGTAATCATCCCCCACGTAATATTCTCTCATCAGCCAATTAATCTTATCTTGCTTTGATTCTTTACTACTCCTAGTTCGATAAACATAACTTTTTCTGAATCCAACCACATTGCCCTTACTATTCTTGATTGGATCAGCGCTGGTTTGGCCTTTCCATGTCCCGTTGGCGCAAGTTGGACGAAACCTTTTATGTGATTCCTTCCGCTTCTTCAACGAAGAAATAAAGTAGCCAATTTTCTCTTCAGGATGATCAGAAATCTCCCATGGTGGCTGGTCTCCATAGATTTCCCCAAGTCTAATAGGGCATTCACTGGGCAAAGACTCATCCTTCAAGAACTTTCTCAGAAAGTAGATCAACTCTGCATCAGTAGGGTAAAATCGAACACTGGGAAGTCGTGATACCATCAACATGATTTTTAACTACGCATAGAAAAATTAAAACAAGAAGGAGACAGGAATCGCAAGAAACCAACAATCCTTCAATGATCGATGATGTGCAACTATTCTCTCAATGAGTCAGAGATAGCCCCTGCTGTGAAAATACAGAGAGAACAAAGAATCCGAGTATTGTGAAAGAAAATTTAACACAGAGAAGAAAGAATTACTCCTATGAAATTAGGAACAAATACAATGGCGATAGCCGATAGCTAATGTTCATGTTTTTTATAAAGAACTTATTAGGTTTCTTAAAAAATTGCACGCGGATGACTAATTTTTTAGGAAAGAAAGGAGTTTTAGGAAAATAAGGAAAGTATTATTTGTTGGTATAAAACTGGGTATTAGGGAAGAACACACGTGTTACTTTTGGCGGGAAGGCTTTTTTTTTTCTTTTCCTTTTGGCATAGGCGGACCCAGGATTTGAAGACGACGGGGGCACTACTGTATGCTAATCACTAGCGATCAACTCTTTAAAAACTTAAGGATTATGATGACTTATCATCCAAGTAGTAATAAAAAGTTTCAAAGAAAAAAAATATCGAATATATATATCTCTACTATATTAACAGTGGGAAGACCTTAAGTGAAAAGTTAAATTACTAAAATGCCCATCTTATTAACCTAAATACCATAATTAATAGAACGAAAAAAGCTAACGTCTACAAAGTCTAGGTACCCCTTCACAACAATCACAACCATTTAGAAAAGTAGCAGCCACCATTTTAATGTAGATCCATCAACTACTTTTTGTTGTTTAACATACACCATTATTATTTTCATATTTCTTCTCTCTCCTCCAAACCCCAAACTACATTACTTAGATGATATACTTGAATGGTTGCATCAGTTAGCAACCTTGGTTTTGCTTCGCAAATGCTATCATGAAGTGTTTTAGAAATTAAAAAACGGGATTTTAAAAGAGTTTCTGCTAGACTCCATCTGTAGTTTGCAAAATAGCTACACGCACTGAATGATCGTGTAGGACATTTAATGTAATTAAAGAGTACCTTTATATACTCATCTTTCAGAAAATTGGGACGGGTCTTGGAGAATCTAGCCTATGTGGAAAAAATATATGTTCTCTACGTCATGGTTAGTAATCCTATAACAACTTAATTAACCATCATTTGGGCTGAATTGACATTTGGAGAAGATCCATGTAATTCACAAGAACATAAGAAAGTAGGAAAAAGTAAAAAATAAATATGTATATAGGAAGCATGTTGTTCAATTGAATGGGTGGTTCAAGTGACTAGACAAAGATAAAAACAATATACTTAATAGAAGTCTCGGAATCATTTGGATAAAAAGTGTGGCTGCTTTCTTAAGTCACTTGTGTATATGAAATACGTTCATCAATTTTATGGGTAGACATCTCTTATGTGATGATCTATGCATCTTTATTGTGTTTAGGTATAACATTGATTAATGTTATAATTAATTGTATTATCTTATTACCAATTTAAAATCCATTGATTGAAATATATATATTAAGATTTATAAGTTTCTTCGAAGCATACTTTGAAGTTGAAGAATGATATACATAAAGTAATTTTTCCGAAAGTATTATGTCTACTTGAAAGTTGTTGTTATTATTTCACAGAAACTTGTACTTGTTCTTTCATGTATAATCATACCGAGATATTTATTTAAATAATGTTGATACTATTTACTACATGACTTGGCATTACTGAAATGCCCTTCTTAAAAATCTACATATTTATTAATAAGAAAACCAATTTAATTTTAAGTGCCTTTTCTAAAAGGTTATGTCCTTTAATATGTAACTAAATATCCACATTTGAACTCTATTCATTAATTGCCTTTTAGTCGAAAAACAAAACGTTGCCTTTAATAAAAAGATAATGTGTGTTGATATAGTTATTCTTCAAAAACTTCTTTCGTTTTCGAGATATATAGACAGGCAGTGAGGTGCACTGGATGAGCTCTAGCCATTCAAGAATTCAAGTAAGAATCCCTTTTCATTTAGATGCTTCTTTATTTTGATAATAAATGATAAATTATAGTACTACTTCTCTGAAAATTTACAAATAGTTACTAAAAAGTAGTATGTCTTTTCTTAATAGTACCTTTCTTAGACACATTAATCAAAAATTGTTACAAAGATCCAAATATTTAGAAAGATTTTAGAATATAATTCAAAATTTGGTTTTATTTATTTTATTCCCAAATATCCAATATATTAATTACCAATCATCCACGACATGATTAGAAAGTACATGGCAAAAATAACAGCATCAAAGCAATGGATTACGAAAGAAGAAAGTGATAAAATCAGATTATACTATCTTTACTTACTCTTTTTAATTATCAATCGTTTATGAGTCACGCTCTCATAATTATTGTGTCTTGCATGAATGATATGGTTTGGAATACCTAAAGGTTATTGTAGTAATTATCTCTTTTACCAAACAAAATTAGTTTGTTAATATATATAATTTTTAAAATATGCAAAATATTATTTTTAAGGTTATAAGACATGAATAAAACTTACAATAATACTTAATAATTATCTTGAGATACAAAATAATATATATGAAGTAATTTATTTATGTGGATTGTATATATACCTGAAAATTATTATAACTATTTGAGATAAAGATGCTTTAGCTTGGGCATAAAATATTACTAATGATTTGGGCATTATAATTGCCAACAATATGATTTAGAGTTTCCCATATATGACATTTAAAATATTTAAAGTCGGGGATATTAGGCTTATGATTAAAAGTCAATATCGAAATTAGTGGCTAATATTATTTTGAAGAAGTTGAAGCAAAACAAGATAATGAAAATCTAAAATAGATTATTTGTTTTGTGAATTTTTTCACAGCGCTAAAGTTTTCTCAATTATAATTTAAAGTGGAGTAATGGAGCAGTTGTGGGACACTCTGGATGAGATTATTTATACATGCAATAAAAATAGAGGTCACTTTCAATGAATTTGATGATGAATCCCAATGTATTTGCTAAAACATGATAGAGTACAAGTCCCATATTGAACGACGCCTCATTACAAAACAAGAATCAGGTTCCGAAGTTTCAAGGCTTGGTTAACTACTTTTAGTTATGTATTATACAAATACTCAATTTCTTCTTGCCTTTAGTTTGATTTAATATATTAATTATTATTAAATAATGAGTGGGCAATTGTCATATAGTATATAATGATATTTATAAAGGAGTATTTAATTATGATGAAAATACTAAAAAAGAAGGTGTCTTTTCTAAGGGTTGCGTTGCTTCTGTTTTAACAAATTTTTTAAATTTTTCTTTAACCATTGGCTACCTTTAAAATAAAAAGACACATTTATATAAAGGCTTTTTCCTCTATTAAACCAATATTGAGAAAAACCATTATTCTGAGCTAATACTATGTCAAAATCTTCTTGTCATTCCTACTAATGTTGAAAATATATTGACGTTTCTTTTTCCTTCAATCTTCTATTCCAACTTCTAAGTTTTGTTTATTAGGTTGAGTTTTTGTATTAGAAGAAATTTGAAAGTACCACTTTGATTTTTGAGTAGGCACTATACTTGAGGGTAGAATTTTTATTTAACTACTGACACCATGTGGGGAAATTACTATCCTAAATATAGTAGTGCTCATTCATTTTGTTTGTTTTTAAAAATAAAAATCTCTTACATCATGTCACATGTATATTCAATCGTCTTGACCTTGACAAACAAGCTAATATTAGACGATTCATATTGATTATTCACATAAACTCGTGCTTTATTCTTTCATGTATAATCGATTACTCAAAAGCTTTATCTTAATTATATTACTGATATTATTTTACAAAATGACATACACGTGTCGAGAAACTAGTATATATATATATATATATATATAGAGAGAGAGAGAGAGAGAGAGAGAGAGATTTCTTCCCAAGACAAAGAATAAAATTAATTAAGTTGACTATTGTGTATTAGTACTAAACTATAAATCAATTAAAAAAAGGATAAAAGTAAAAAAAAAAAAAAAATTGCTACTAAATATAAATTATATTGTATTCAAAGAACAAAAATATTAATTAAGTTGATTATTATATATTAGTACTAAATTGTAATTGAATTCAAAAAAAAGAGATAAAAGTAAAAGCAATTTGCTATTAAATATAAATTACATTATACTCAAAGAATAAAAATAGAAAGGAGGAGAAAAAAGTTGAACGTGGATTTTGAACCAGCATCACCGGCAAAGGCTGGAATTTAAGCGCCCAAAGCAACCACTCCTCCCATCCGTCTTTTTGTTTCTGGGGGCACACTTAAAATGTTTAAGGGGTCCCATATATATGTACAAATATAATATATATAGGGTTTTTATCGAGACTAACGGGGTCACGTAACCCCTCAACCCACAACGTAGGCCCGCGTCCGCCTTTTGGTTACACTTGAGTCTCAAGCTATTTACCTTCCTTTTTCCAAATCTTTATTTACTTTAACTTTGTTCTACTCCTGTCAAATAGAACTAAATTAAAAAAGATTTACAGAATAAAGTTGTAACTTGTAAGTTACTTTTCTAATAGAACATTATTTTAACAGAAGAAAAGGAAAATTAATTTGCTTTCCCGTTTTCCTTGTTTGGACTTATTTCTTTAACTGATACTAGTATTAGCACCCACGTAAATGCGCGGACACTAACCATGTCAAATATTTGAGTTATTTGAATTATATGTAAATAATCTTAAAGTTTAAACCTTCTCGATAAAATATAGATAATCATTGGATATTAATTAAAAAATACTACATGAAAAAGATTAACCATTTCTCAAATCTCCTAATTATAATTCTATTTTAATTTTTTGGTACCATTCTCGCTGGTGTCATTGAATCCTAAAAATAGTCATGAAGCAAAATAATACTCATATTTATGGCAAAAACAATCAAAGGTTGATGGTGAGCCTATGATTATCCCATGTATTCTGGTATTATCCATTTTCATGTTGCTATTAAAGCCTGTGATTATCACATGTATTCTGACCATCTCACCTAGAACCGCTTCTGCGATCCCTTGGTCGCTTTTGCGATCTCGCACCTGCGGTCAAAAACCTCGCAGGTGCAATCACACCAAAAGCCTTAAGCCTCAGCAATTCCTTAAGTCCAAAACTCGACCCGATTCCAATTCGATTCGCATCCGAGGCCCCCGGGACCCCGTCTAAACATACCAACACATCCCAAATCGCTATACGAACTTAGTCGAAGCCTCAAATCACGTCGAACAAAATCAAAATTACGAATCGACGATAGAAACCTTTCTTTAAACTTTCAAACTTCCAAATATCGACGAACGCATCCGAACCATATCGAGGCATTCCGAAATGACGCTAAACTTTGCGTGCAAGTCACAGTTCACGATACGAACCTATTCCAAGGCTCGGAACTCCAAACGGACATCAATAACACCAAAGTACACTTCAAACCAAACATAAGAAATTCTTAAACCTTCAAAATGCCAACTTCCCACAATAAGCGCTGAAATGCTTCCGGACCACCCGATACTCAACCTGAACATACGCCCAAGTCTGAAATTATCATACGAACCTATTGGAACTTTTAAATTCCGATTCCGAAGTCGTTTACTTAAAAGTCAAACCTTAGTCGATTATTCCAACTTAAAGCTTCCGAAATTAGAATTTTCCTTCCGAATCAACTCCGAACTTCCCAAAATCCTGTTCCGACCACACGTACAAGTCGTAGTACATGAAGTGAAGCTACTCAAGGCCTCAAACCGTCGAACGATGCGCTAGACCTCAAAACATCTGGTCGGGTCGTTACACTTCGCCAGCTACCCCTAGTTACTGGCCTAGAAGATACTAAGCTAGTATTTGACCATATATTCCCAAATTTGTTTAAAAAAAACTGATTCGCGTGAAGTTTGGTTTGAAGATAAAAATCCGTTTGGACATTAAACATATTTCATTTTTTTTTAAAACAATATGAAACGTGACTTATATGCACCCATAAGTTCTAAAAACTATCAAAAATACCCAACCTACCAAACAAACAAACTTGCTAATCCTGTATATGCAGAACCATCATAGATGTCACTCGTTATCATTATTACAAACTAGTCTCGAACATAGATAAGCTGGCACAAAATCATCATTTTTATAATGAACTACATAATACAATATCCTAAAATCTTAACCTGATATTTAATATAAATTGCTAATAACACAATCACTAGTTACTACAATTCGTCAAATTGCAATAATATTACAAGATCCATTAGTAAAAAAATAATAGTAACTAGCTGGTGGATTAGTTGGCTCATAATAGATGGTGCATTTTTTTTTTTATAAATATAAAAGTTTGGGGTAATTTTTAAAATTGTTAAAAAAATACAAAGGTAATATTTTGAGCCAAAAATATGTGTAGAGCTAGTTTTGGGATTTGAAAATTTTATTTTCAAAGTTTGCCAAAATATGAATAAAATCTATAAATAAACAGGTTTTTGCCAAAATTTTTTTTAAAAGAAACTTGGCAAAATCTATAGCCAAACGGGGGCTAATATTCAATTCATGACACTATGGTTCAAAAGGAATACTTTGGATGTTGAATTATCTATTGGGTACAATTTTTTTTTTCAACAGGTAATATTTTACATTATTAATATATGCTTTTATTCCCCACCAAAAAAAGAAAAAAAAAAAAGGAGCGGGGAGGGGTGGAATTATATGAATAGACAAATAAGCGGTGCGATTTTCCAAATTTTAAAAACATATCTAAGAAAGTTCCCGCTTCAAAGCCCCTCTCCATGTCGCTCTGTCAGTGCCCAGAAAACCCTAATATTTTGATAACGACAGCCGATTATACCAGTGAATTCCACTATTTTATGTTTCTAATAAAAGGTAAATTTTCATTATGTTTCGAATTGTTTAATAGTGGTCTCATATAGCTCCGAAATGCTATATTATCTAGATCTTTCTCATGTTCATTTGCAGTGTCTTTTGCTTCCCAATTTCTGTAGAAATGTCTTGTTATTCTCTGTCTTCAAGTTAATATTGAGCCTTTTCTCGATTTGGTCAATCGATTCGTGGGTGTCCTGTATAATTTGGTTAACCTCAAGATTTTCTTCTTTGAGCAATCTTTCTTTCCTGAAAACGGGGTTAAAGGGTAATGAAAAGTTCGACTTTTTTTTTTTTTTTTTTTTGTGGTAAGAGTAGTGATTATTTAATCAATTTCGCCTATAAAAGCTTTGGAACTTGTTCGGGGTAGAATTAGTCAAAGTTCTTTTGGATTTGTAGGGACTTGTTCACTAGGCACGAACTATTTGAACAGTACAGTTTTTTGGCGAAGGGGATAGAATTGAACCCTTACCTTCCTTTAGCTTCACCCCTGAGTTTGAGAGACGGAGGATAATTGCTTATGTCTTTGTTTGTCTATTTATTGTCTAATCTGTGCACCATGATCCAATTACGTTTCATGGATCGATGAGGCCCAGCTTCTGTTAAGCTTGATTTTGTTAGTGATTGATAATTCTCCTTGGGAGAGTGGTTATAGATGGCAAAATAGCTTCGTTTGTTGTTCAACAGTTCTTTATACTCTGATGATTCATTTTGAAAGTGAAAATTGAACTATTAGCTTTTATCCTTTCAGCTGAAGCATTAATGTGAAGGGAAAAAACAAAAAGAATTCGTTGACTTGTGTTTGTGCATCAGAAAAATCATAATCAACATACGAAGCTAGGCAAATGGACAAAGTTTATGAGGAGCTAGATGCTGTTAAAGGAGAGGTGGAAAAGCTCAGAGAAGAGTGCCGGACCAAATCGGATTTGACGGAGAGTTTGCGGAAAGCCCACATTGATCAATTTGCGAAACTTCAAGAAGCTAAGCTGGAGATTGAAAGACGGGCAAATGACTTATTTGTCAAATCTGAGGAAATATTTGAGATCAAGAAACTCTGTGATGACCTAAAGTCCAGTCTGCATGAGAAAGAATCATGTCTCCAGAATCTTAGTTCTGCTCATGAGAAGCTGCAACAAGATTATAGGGAGAAAATTGGAAAGTTGGAGGTACAAAACAAGGATTTGGTGTTCTCTTTGGATGAAGCAATATCCAGAATTCAAGATTTGGAAATGCAGATTGGTACAAGTAATAAAGAAATCAACGCTCTTAAGCAACTCGTGTCAGTTAGGCAGGAAATTGAATCAGAGCTAAAAGCACCAGCATCCAAGGATCTGAAAGATGGAGACGACATTATCCAAAAACTTGAGGAAGAAAATAGGATTGCAAAAGATCAGCTGAAATGGAAGGGCGAGCAGTTTAAACACCTTGAAGAAGCTCATGAAAGGATCCATGATCAGTTCAAAACTAGTAAGGTGGAGTGGGGACGGGAGAAGTCAGCAATGCTTGAAGAGATTTCGTCATTGCAAGAAAGGTTGGATTCTCAGGCACGAATCTCAGAAGGCCTCCAAAGCCAATTGAGGATGTGTAACCAAGCTTTAGCACATCAAGAAAGCAGAAGAAGAATTCTGGAAATTGAAGTGTCTGAGTTCAGATCTCGATTTCATGATATCTCTTTAGAGTGCCAAGAAGCAAACTCAAAGCTCGAGAAGTTGACCATCAAGAGGGATGAAGAAATTGGAGAGTTAAGAAACTTACTCCGGATAAAAGAGACACTGTTCAAGGATCTAAAATGCCAAAGTATGCAGATTGAACAAGAAAATAAAGAGTTACGAGGATCTCTCAAAGAGATTCAAGAGGCTCAACTCCAGGATGCTGCTTCCACTTCTGCACTGAAGAAACTGCGTACCAATTTTCAGGATTTGAAGCAGTTACACACAAAGTGCTCCTTAAACCTCAAAGAAAAAGAAGCTGAATGGAGCTCTCAGATAGGAAAAGTTACAGAAGATATGAACAGATGCATGTCTGAATTAAAAGGTAAAGAAAAGCACATAGAAGAGCTAGAAAAAGAGCTGGAAAATTGCCGTGATGCGTGCGATGTTCTTAATGGTGAGATATCTGTGTTAATCATGGTCTTAAAATCAGAAATCCATGCCTTGAGCAAGGAACTCTCTAGAGCAAAGGCGGATCTGGAACCGAATAGCAAAAATCTACATCAGAAGCGTGAACAAGCAATCCTTTTAGAGGCAGAACTGAGTGAGTATAAAAAGATGCTTGAAGAGTCATCTGATTGCCAATTTCACCTCAGGGGACAGGTCCTGCAATTGGGTAATGCTCTGAAAGATGCTTCTGATGCTTCAGAAGAAGCCAAAGCTGACCTGGCCAAAGCAAGGGCTGAAGTCAAAGAGAGCAAACTTGAACTAGAGAAGTGGAAAGCTGAAGCAGGAAAGCTTAAAGACTGCCTTGAAGAGAACCGGTTGGGCCAAAAGCAAGAGCAGGAGAGCTTACTTGGGATTTTGAAGGAGAGAGAAGCCAAAACAAATGAGCTACAACAAGAGATTACAGAACTCGAGTTGAAGATTGTTGAAAGAACAGAGGCAGTGGAAGCTTTAAATCAGGAAAAGCTACAATATTGTCAAATTGCAAAAGGCAAGGATAGTAGCATAGAAATTCTTCAAACTAAGATTTCTTGCTTGGAGCAAGAGTTAGCTGATAAAGACCTTCAAAATGAGCAAGCACAATCAGATGCCCTGAAGGCTTTTGATCAGGAGAAGGAGAGCCTGTTGCTGACTGTGAAAGAGAAAGACGGTGAAATACAACATCTTCTTGAACGGGCCAAAGATTTGGAGGATGATGTAATCTGTAAAGAAATTGCTTTTACAGCTTTGGAGACTGCTGAGAGTCTAAAAATGCTTGAGATTAAAGAGAAAAACAATGTGATTGCTGAGTTAGAGGTGAAATTGGGTGATACACATCAGAAATTTGAACTTCTAAATAAATCCTTGTCTGATTCAAGACAGAAGGAGGGGCAGCTGGAAACATTGTTGCAAGCAAGTAAAAAGGAATTGGATGAGCTGAAAGCTCATTTTGGCAATGAACGGATGCATTTGGAGGCCCGAATTCAGGAGATTGAATCTCAGAAAAATGATTTGCTTGAAGAAAATAAGAAACTTTCAGTTGATAGGGAGGAATTACTAATACAAATGGAAGGAATCGCTGGAAGAATCAGTGAAGTTTGCTTTGAAGATGTTGCGCTTGAACGACAGCTAGAAAAAATATTGGGGAACCCTGAGGAAGTAGAAGAGCCATCACTTAGTAATTTAGGGAAAGGCCAATATACTGGAACTCCTTTCTCAACTGCCAAAACAGGAACTGATGAAAGAACTCCATTGGTAGAGCTCAACTGTTAGGCCATTTTTGAAATGGGGGAGCAGTTCTGTACTTCAAACACCAAAAAAAAAAAAAAAAAAAAAAAGAAAACCTTTTGTAGTGGTGTTCTCCAAGATTTGCAAATCTGGATGGCAAACAGACGAGACTCAAGGATTATGGAACTTTCTGCATTTCGTTGTATTTGTGGTACTATAATATTCTTTCAATGCAATCAATGATTCTTCATTTGTTGCTAAAAGAAATATGGAAATCTGTATATTGGTTCATGTGCTGGTCACTAACCTGTGGTTCCTTTTCTAAAGGAAGATTGGTCAGTCTTAAGTCTTAGAACTTAAATTTCTACTTAATCTAGTTAAACGTGATATTGAAACTGTTTTAGTTCTACAGTTTTGAGAATGTTGCTGGAGGTCCAGTAATTGTAACTTAAAGCTTCTTTTTTTTTTTTAAAAAAAAAAGTCCTAGATGTTACAATTACCTCTCTTACTTTGACGAGTTATGAAAATATCCAGTTTATATAAATTTTGAGAATGTTATATGATTACTTACGTTGGAAGTGTATTTGAAATACTGCAACACCAAAATAACTGGCAGAGAACAGGCCTTATATAATGGCTTGAGCATGCTAAAACACATCTCTTCAAATGAACTATAATTGGTCTGTTTTATTGTGAAAGAAAATGGATATATCAAATTCAAAGATTCAAAGCTGATACCAGTGATAACCACCGCTTTTAATGCATACAATTGTTCAAAAAGTTCCATATTGACATAAATTTTTTCTTAAATGTATCAAAATGCAAATGTCGAACTGTGATATGACCCCTAAATGCAAGTGGGGATCTTGTACAATTGGATTAGTGTAGCTCATCACTTTATGATGAATCTGGCAGCCGTTTTTCTTCGTTCTTTTTTCCTGAAGCTGAATTCTGAGCAAACTCTGAGAGACCCTGCTTCAAAGCCCCAAGATTTACCCCATCATCCACCAATATGCTTGTCACGCCCATCTTCGAAACCTACAATATAAAACCACCATGTACTCTTAGCGAGTCTCCTGAAGTACATGACAGTACTATAGATGATATTAGCCTCAGGTAACAAGTGGGAAATGATAGAAAGATCAACAGAAAAGCATCACGTGATTCACAGGAAGAGTTTTTTTTTCCTGAGCAAATTTCACAGGGAAGAGATTTTTACCGACTCTATATTACGATCCTCATCATCAAAGAACAGCATCTCCCTATAAGGCACCCCTGTCCTCCTATTGATCTTCTGAAAGTGTTCGGTTTTGTGTGTCCAACTGGAAAATATTTCCTGCAACTCTAAGCATTCAGATTATGGCCATACACATATATCACCAACTTTAGAGCTGCAAAAAGTTAAAATCCAGCTGCATTCATGATGTCAACTTTCAGATATTATTATCATTAAGTTTGCTTTATAATACCAGCAGCTACAAATAGAGTTCGAGTTCTCAAAATCATTATCCCTAAAAGGCTGAGGAAACCAATCTGTAGAGAACGTGATTCATGAGAAAATCTCATTGAAAAATGTAAAAAGTACAGCTATTTGTAACAGTTAGCAAAGAAGTGTAGCAACACCATCGTGACAGTGCTCTAATTTAGAACTGGATGCATTATATGATTATATCAGTTTCTTATTTATTTATTTTTTATTATGCTCAGTACTCAAATTTTATTCTTTCTTTCAAAGTATAGTTTCTTTGGTTGACAAGAAATGAGTGTTTCAATTGTTCGTCATATAGTGCTTGAAGGTGCTGTATTAAAATATCGAGTTAAAGACAATTTTGTCAGTGATTTTAGAGTTTTAGTTTCCTCATGGCTCCTTGGCTTGTTAAAACAATAGGATGTTCTAGTGCTTTTGTCAAAAACTTAGCTAAACAATTGCAGACAAAACGTCAGGCTAATAGCATTAGAGCACTTTATTATACCCCCCCCCCCCCCCCCCCCCCCTCTTTTTGTCATAAAGACCTGGCTCATTATTAAAGGCGCTTAGTGCAAAATTCTTCTATTATTTGGCCCTAATAGCTGAAGGTGCATTATGGTGTACTTTTTTATCCACTAAATAACTTCTTACCTCTCAAGAACTCAAAATTCTAGTTCATGGTTTTTGCCTATCACAATTCCCAGCCAAAGGTGACCTCATTCTTGAGAGACCCACTCATAACATTCTTGAGACCTAACCATACCTTCGAAGTAAATCATGCCCCTTCGTGTTCCTTAAAGAAGATATGTGCTACAAGATGAGATCCAATACCAAGTCCTCTAGCATTTGGGCCATATTACCACAAATCTGGGGGCTCCCTATGTTACACATATCTTTAATTTTGCTTCACGTACCCATGCCAAATGGTGATATGGATGGGTGTACTTCATGTGGATTCTTTAAAACATGAAAAAAAATCGAACATTCTAGAAATACCCATAAAATAGGCCCAATGTGGTCGGACACTTATCCCAATCCCACGCGTAGCGGGAGCTTAATGCACCGGGCAACGCTTTTAAACACGCCCATACTACATAATTACACACAACCATATAAGAAACCTACTGGTAAACGAGTACATGAATCATATAATACTAGACCTCTTACTTCACACACTGGAATTGGATGCTCAGCTTCAGCCTACCATAAGGTATTAGAGAAGTTTTATTTTCATCATTTTCTATACACTTTCGCTCCTAGTGTATTTTGCTTTCTAAAACCATGAAGTGAGTTAGCGGAAGTCAACTCATACTACAAAAGGAAGTTGTGTTATGTTGTAAAAAGTAAGGGAAACCTAAATGGAAAACAAAGTTAGCCATAAGGAAAAAATTGAGTGTGAGTGCACCAAAAGGAGTAAGGCCGAAAGTAGTTTAAAGTTTTCCATCATCTCACCTTGGCTGCAAATATTGATGTTAGGCCCAACTTATCAAGAAAAGTGTTTGCTATATCAGGCGTCGGTGATCTTGAGGCAATAGCAATATTAACTCCCTTGTCCTTGAGGGCAGATAAAATGCCTTTGGCATGAGGATATAAATATGGCATTTGCTGTTTTGAGCGGCATTCACTAGAAGAAAACAGAAAAAATTATCAGAAGACCAATTTTAAGCAGAATTTAAACAAAAAATGCAATGTTATTTCCAGGAAACAAAAGGTTAGGGGAATATTCAAGTCGAGTCATGGATACACTTCAACAGTCTTATGTGACAAAGAGCTCAAGAATTTTCATATGGCCGTGTATGACTTGGTTCTCAAAGAGCGAGTATGAAAAGGTAAAAAGTATGCCCTAAGAATCCACCTCTGTCAATTCAATGCCGACGAGCAGATCCCTCAAAAAGTGAACGACCCTTACCTACAAAATTCTAAGCACCGGATACCATTACATATGGACCAACTTAAATCCAGAACGGACCTTGCTAAATACAAATTTCCATCTTAAACACATCTTACTTCTGAAATCCCATGGTCATAATATGTCAGAATTGTTTATTGACTTCAACAACCACCTATATCAGCAGCCTATCTTTCTCGATGCCCTGAAATTCCCGAGTCTTGTACAGCATGTGAATGGCCCCAAAAAAAGCCTTTCTATCCCACATGCTAATATTGAATCACACCTACTATACCTTCATAATCTGGCCAACAGCATCGCAAGCCATTAGGTTATTCCGTGGGTCCGAGATCCTGTATGGTTTATATTCAAGTTGATTAAACCAATATCTTTATCAAATGAATTTGGTTGATCTACCATTGGTGTTTGCGTTTTTTAACAAAATGTTTATCCTTCTATCAACTCTTACATGTCCTTATTTGCTGAATTATAATGAACATGGATAATAAAAAACATATATGCCCCCGATTCCAGTAGTCCTCAATGGAAGGAAAACATGGCACACCTGAAATCAAATTGTTATGGACCAAGCTTTTGCAATTAGCTTCTAATAAAAATCGAGATTCCAGAATTGCACTAACACTTGCGATCTACGTTGAGATTCAAGATTTCCTTGAGTGACTTCTTAGTTCCAAATTCCAATTATCAGTGTTTCCAGATCTGATGTTACTATTTCTTTAGCCAAAACAGAACACTAAATAATGTCATGCTTGCAAATTTGCAAGATGCAAACCTCCTTTTCAGTTGTTATAATCTCTATGTGGTTTCCCTTTTCAAGTAGATCACAGCAATTTATCGTGGTTCCTAATTCCTTATCATCGGAATTCACTGATATGTCACCTCTTTAAACGACTTATCCTCATATCAATCAGTTCATCCTCTTAAGAAGGACTTGGATGCTTTCCCTGCTTATTAACGAAATACGCAATATGACAATAGTAAACGTGATCCGAGTCTTTTGTTGGCCAAACTTTCAAGGGAATTTCAAAATCATGGCATTTCTATTTTCATTAGTAATAAGCTGCAACGACATGGCTGAACAAATTTGAGAGGTTAACCACAAACATGATCAACTAATAGCCTCTACAAGCACTCTCCTATCTCAAGTTGGCCTACCAATTACTCAGGCTAGAAACTGAAAACTACGAATGCCCTTAAAGTTCTTAACCACTTACCTTGCATAAATATGAATGTCACTCTCCCATTATACATTCACACATAAATAAAACAGTCCTCGATCTGCTGCCTGTGACTCTATCTTTTGATGATAGAGTCAGAAGCAGATCAGCAACATTCCAATCCCAAACTAGTGGTATTTGGCTATACGAATCCTTGACAACCATTCCACTCTATACGAGCCCATTTTATTCCAGTATGGAAAAATAATTTAGCTTAAAAAGGTTGCTGTTATAGCTAAAAAATATTCCAGTACACGTGGATAATATGTATCGGATATGGTACCTTACATGAAGATATTTATACTAAAACACGGTTGTTACCAATTATCTGTAAATACCTATGTTGCAAGCCCATTACCTAGCAGCCTATGGGTAAGGCAAAAGAAATGAAGCTTTCCCAAAGAGTGTATATCATGATCAATAGAATTACAGAAGAGAACAGCCAAAAATAATTATAAAAAGAAACGGAGGATGTAAATGGAGTCCAGAATAAACGAGTGATTGTATAATATTTGG